CTCCCTTTTCCTGTGGAAACATTTTTTTCTCTTTACTACTGAGAAGAAAATCACACTGCCCTGGTCTCCCTCCTCTCTTCTATCCTTAAATGTTGGAATGACTCGGGCAGTTCTGGGCACCTCTTTCTTTTCCATCCATACTCTCCTCCTAAGTAATGTCACTTAGTCCCAAGGATTTAAATACCAATTCAGATGCCAATGAAGTCTAAATCCAGCCCTGACATTTCCCCTTGATTCCACTATCATATATGCAGCTGCTATTTGACAACCCCACTTGGATGTCTAATAGGTATCTCAACTTTAACTCTTGATCTCCACCCACAAACTTGCTCCTCCCCAAGACTTTCCCATCATAGTAAATGCCACCAATGACTTAAGCCAGGAAATTCTGGAGTTAATCTTAATTCCTCACTTTCCCACACTCCCTACAACCAAACCATCTGGAAGCCATAGTGGCTGTCTTCAGGACATAACTCAAGGTCACCCATTTTCTTTCAAATCCACCACTCTACTCTCATCCAGAGCACCATCAGCTCTCACCTGGACCTTCAAATAGCCCCCAACTGTGTCTCTCTGCTTCCACTCCTGCTCTCCTATTATCTGTCTTCACACAACGATCACAGTGGTATTTTAAGTAAGAAAATCAGGACAAAGGTGGTCAATTCAACAGAGCTACTTTGCTCCCTCTTGAAACCCTTCTAAGAGGACTGTAAAGGGATTTTTTAAAGTTTTCTCTAAAGAACTTTAAAAAGAAAACAGGAGAGGAAATAATAGTAACAAAAATCCAGAAGCTAGAAAACAGAACAAATGCCAACTGACTTAGCAGACCCAAGAAGCTGAAACCTAACCCAGAGAAAGTAAAAAAGGAACATGATTTATACCATCAACTCCCCTGAAGTCAAGAATTGATGGTACCAGGTAACTCTAGAAATGGAGGTAAAAACAGGGAACTGCTCAAATTCAGTTCAAGAAGAGACAGCACCCCAAGTCATCTCCTTGACTCCAGGTAGTGGGGGCTGCCCCTCCCCAGAACAGCCAGAAGCTGGGGGTGCTTTCTGTGGGAGAGGGTAACATTGGTGTGTCTGGGCCGAGACACCAGGTCCAGTTGAGCACAAGAGTACTACGCAGCAAACAGGAGAGCTGGCAAAAGTTTCCATACTGAATGTTGAGACGTCCCTGACCATTTTCTCCCACTTACTTCCCAGTATGCTGGTGGCCACAGTTCTTTCCAGCAAGAAACTGGGGGAACACTTTCCACGGAATCTGACCAGGCCAGGAAGAAATACCCTAACAAAACCCACTCCCTAAAGTAAGAGCCCCACCGGATGGCCACAGGCGGCCTCCAACACCTCCCACCTGGGCCGAGCCCCCTGGCTCTCAGTGCCCCTCTGACCTAGAAGCAATAGTAGCTTCCCAGGCAAGGCTCTAACACAAGTGGCCAAGACCAGAACAAACCAAGAGAAAAGCACCCGGAGGAAACAGCAGGGCGGGAGATGAACCGCATCCTGAAGCCATTGCTTTCCTCGGGTAAAGCAGTGGCGGTCTGGCTACCCGGAAATAAGGACAGGCTATTCCCCCAGCTGCACTCGCCTTCCTGCCACTGAACACACCGAGTTCTTCCCCACTTCAGCACCCTCCAAACGGGGTTCCCTTCTCTAGGTCTTCACATGGCTGGCTCCTACTGTCACCTCAGAGGGGCCTTCAGTGAGCACCCACTCTGAAGAAGTCCCCACCAGCCACTGAACACAGGTGTCAGCCAGCTGGTTCTGTAAGTGCACACGGTAAGTGTCTCAGGCAGCGCGAGCTGGATGTGCTGGATGTGGTCTCTGCCGCCACCACTCACCTGTCACAGCTGAAGGCAGGCATCGGCAGGACGTGCACCGGCACCGGTGGCTATGTTCCAGTAAAACTCCTTATGGACACAAACTCGGACTTCCTATCATTTTCACAAGTCATGAGTGTTATTCTCCTTTTGATATTTTTTTCATTTTTAAAAACATAAAAACCATTCTTAGCTTCCAGGGATAAAAAAAAAAAAAAAAAGGCAGCAGTCCGGATATGGCCAAACTGTTTTGATACATCAGAAAACCATTCTTAGCTTCCAGGGATAAAAAAAAAAAAAGGCAGCAGGCCGGATATGGCCAAACTGTTTTGATACATCATCCTGTTTTATTTTCATCAAAGCACTAATCACTTCCTAGTCTTTTCTTGTTTATTTGCCTTTTTTATGGTTTGTTTATTATCAGTCTCCCCTACTAGAATGGACGTCATGAGAGCAAGGGTCCTTGCAGTCTCCTCTGGCACCCTCACCACCATGCAGGGTGCTTGGCATACAGTAGGTGCTCAGTGTTTACTGAGTGCTGGAATGATTGCTGTGCCACACCAGCCCCCACCCCTCCCACCGCAATCCCTCCTGGAAAGGCCTAAAAGGACAAGTCTTAGGGGACAATAATGGCACTCCCACCCTACTCTTTCCCTACCCTTTCTGCTTTCCTGCTCCTTCCCCCTTTCCTGTGAACCAAGAAAACTCAGTCTAAGGCTGCCTCTTCTCAGTGCTCTCAGACCTGTAGTTAGAGAATAGTGTCAGGTCACTGGTCCAGCCCACACAGGGGGAGCTGCAGGTTAATGGGGCTTCAAAATTATCCCCTTCGAATCCCAAGCTAGTGAAGGGGAACATAGCACAGCAGCTAATATGTGTTCGGTGCTCTGAGGAACGCCAACCGACTGAATATTCACAAGCATTGGGACTTTTCAGCATCATGTAATGGGTGTTGTGGTTACAAAAAAGGAGCCATCTCTAACCAATTTCTGGAGAGAAAAAAGATTCCTTGCTCCTTGGATAGAATTCAGGTCCCCAAAGTGGAGACAGGGGCACGAGCTCTGGAGAGAAAAAAGATTCCTTGCTCCTTGGATAGAAGAATTCAGGTCCCCAAAGTGGAGACAGGGGCACGAGACTCTCACCGTTGCTGGCACAGTCCTTTAAGCCCACCCAACTCCCTGGTTGAACATGTGCACGAGCCACCAGATGCAAATGATCTGGTTTCCCACGGGGGAGGAGGGTGCTGACAAGCACACACTGGTGCTCCCACGACCTGCCCAATGTGAGTTAGTGAAGTGGCACTTGGGCTTATCAATCACACTGTTCTTTGTGAGCAAAGCTAGTCCTGTGGGCCTGCTCACTGCTGGTCAAGGGCTACAGTGAAGTTCCTCAGATGCCTAGCCAGGACCACATCCTACCAGCCCTTCCAGAACCTCCTTTTGACCACTTCCAGATCCAGTGGCTTTTTGTGACCCTCTGTTTTTACATACCCAATGCTGTGCTTCCAAAAATGCAGAGCTCACAGAAACTAAGGAATTTACATGACCCAGGTGGCGGCCAAGGCACTTGTCTCTGACCCCCATACTTGCAAGCACCCCCAAGTACTTTCCATTCTCTCGGAAGGGACTGGGCTGGCTGGGCAGGCTTCCGCTGGCCTGGTTCAGTTATGATGCCTCTGTGGCCCCTGCTGCTTCTGTTGCTCTATTGACAGATGACTTTCATTTCTATTAAAAAAAAAACCAGTCGACAAAAGCCTTTGTGTACATGGTAGACTTTACTGAAGATGTGGAGAGACAAAGGGGGTTTTCATAGCAAAAATACAAAAACTTAGTTGAATATTAGACATCCTTGAGCTTAAAAAGACCCTTAGCCATTTCCACCAACTGGTCTCCAGCCGCCTACAAAGGCACTTGACCCTTTCCCCATCCTTTCTCAGGAAGTAAACAAACAAATTCCAGACAGTTTCCTACTCAGAGTGACTTAGCCAACATTTGTTCTGTCCTCCTTTTAAGACCCTCCACTGGGGCCCTGGGGCCAGCTCTCTCAGCCTTGAGGCCTCCTCCCGCCTGTTTTGCCTAGAGCTTGTTTTGTTCTCTAAAAATAAGTGTGGTGTGTGTGTGTGTGTAGAGCAGTTAGGTGAAATGTGTGTGCATGTGTGTGTGTGTGTGTGTGTATAGGTGAAATTTTTATACCCCCAAGTCAGTGATTTTCAACCATGTGCCACAATAATTTTTAAAACATATAACACCTGACTATTTAGTCAGGAGCACTGACCCCTTTTCCTTTAGGTTGTCAAATAAAAAAATGACAACAGGCAACACAATAGCCATCCGGTGTGAATGAATCAAAATTATACCTATTCTTTTTTTTGTCAGATCAGCAAAAAATATATTTTTGGTGTGCCGCAGGATTTTAGTAACTCACTTATGGTGCTTCAAGGTAGAAAAGGCTGAAAATATCTGCCCTGAGTTATCAGCCTTCTCAGCGCTCACTGGGACTAGGTCCCAAGCCCCAGGTCACACGTAAGAAGGCAATTCAGCCCCAGGTCAGCCTGGCTCCAGGGTTTAAGGTCTTAAAAACAACTTGCATAGATTTAACTGTTTGGGGAAAAGCTTTTTGTTTTCATCTTGGAGCTGATGTAATAGGTAAGAAGAGGTCAAACACAAATGGCCACTGGGTAAAGCCAAACACATTACTGCTTGACCTCACATTCCTCCGCTATGCAGGTGTGGCCCAGCAGAGCCCACTCCAGGCCCAGCCCTGGCAGTTGTCAGAGCTACCTGCTGTCATCACCCTTGTTTACAAGGGGTGCCAGCTCTCCTCCCGCTGGCCCTGTCACCACCCTGCCCACTGTCCTCTGAACCCTACAGTCAGGGGAAGGGAGCAGATATACGTAGTATGCAGGAGGCCTGGGCCAGGCCACACCATGGCAGTCCCTTGTTCCTCACACCCCTGGCTTCAGTCCTGAAAGGGCAGAGCCTGTGTCCACACACACGCTCACGCCACACTTGTACACACGCACCTTAAACTCCTTCTGCATGTGTCTCTCTTGTTAGATCATTCTACTCTATGGAAGCTCATTGGTGGCCACTGGGTCACAGGCTGCTCTGTCATCATCAGACCCCACAAGACAGGCAGTGTTCCCACACCCCCATCTCCATGACGGTGCCTGCTAGCTCTAGATTGTGTCAGGAGGTCAAGGGTTCCACCCCAGAGGCCTCAGGAAGCCTACACACCTCCCCGGCCCCAATGGCATGGATCCCACTGCCTGTACACGTGCGGTCACTCAAGCTCCGGGTAGGCTCCAGAAGTGGTGTGTGGTCTACAGGAAGTAACAGAACAGGAAGGCTATAGTCTCCACCCACAGAAGTTGAGTCTAGGAGGAAAGACAGACTCAGAAGCAGACAATTACATGTGCTTCTCGGTAGTCCAGGAGGCTCCAGTGCTACTTTCTAAAATTCAGATAAAAAAGACTTACTCCCTTGCTTAAGACACTTCCAGGACCCCCTTCCCGTGGAGTAAAACCGAGTGAGGGGGGTTGCCCTGCGGAGGAGGGAGCTGGATCACCAGCTCCTCCCCATCTGGACGGCTGGCCTGGGCAGGATGTAGCCCTGCAGCCTCCGCACCTCAGCCCCCGCGTCTCTCCCTCTGTACCCCCGACACACCCTCCTCTCTGGCCTGGAACACACCAGGCACTGTCCTGCCCTTGCCCTCCCAGGCTTGAGAGGCTCCCCAGTGTCCCACCATCAGGACACTCTCCTTCTTCCACAGCATGTATCACAGTTTACATCTTGTTTCCTTGCTCACTTTTTCTTCCTCAGTAAAGTTTAGTAAGTGCCCCAAGGACCTCGCCTGTCTTGGTCACCAACACATTCCCAGGGCCTGGCACAGAGCAGAATTTAAATAAATATGTGCTAAGTGAGTGAATAAATGTATGAATATTGCAAGAAAGTTAGTTCCCATTCTGTGCCCCCTTCCTCACCTTCAAAACGGGACAGCACAGTACCTGTGGGGTGAGGGTTAGCAGAGATGACAGAAGTCCCTGTTTGCTGGTACATGTAACAGGTGCTCTAACGGGTCAGGACTGGAATGCTTTTGCCACACAAGAGGAGTGGCAAACCCTTCTGCATGAGGAGAGGTGACTCCACACTGGCTCTTGAAGCATGAGTAACCGTTCTCCAGTGGGGGCAGAGGCCCGGGAACATGTGGGGCCACAGCCAAGAGGCAGAGACATGCTGGGATGAGTGATTCAGAGACCCCAGGCCCTGTGAGGGAGGCTGCAGGAGAGGTGGGGCCAGGTCGGGTCTCCTGTCTGCCCCAAGGGTCGCAGTCTGCCCTACAACAGTGGGACAGGCTCTACAGCTCATCTGTGTTCCCCACGGCTGACTGGCTCGGAATTTACAGTTATAAGTAGATGAATCTCCATTAGGCTACTGAGGTCAGTTCCTAAAGAAAAGGGAAAACTCACAGCCAACACTTGGCCCAGCAACACCTGCAGATTCCTTCCCACTCCCAACACAAAAAGATCATCCCCTTAACTTGAGCATCTGTCCCACGGTCAACAGGCTGCTCACACATCCTTCGTGAGCATTTGTCTGAAGGTTCACAGTCAGCTAGCAGGGCAGGCACCATGAGTTCCCTTATCCAAACAGCCCCAGGAAAAGGGAAGGGCAGAGGGGAGAGGGCAAGGCTGTGCTGGTGACCGGGGGAGGGACGGGCAGCGTTACACAAACACAAACCCTCACAGACATGTGGGAACATGCCAGCCCGAGCCAGGGACTCGGGGACCCTACGCCCCGCCTCGGCCCCCATGAACAGTAGCGTTAAGCAACTTGGTATGAGATCTAGCAGTAGTCCGTGTTTGTTAAAGCTTTTTAATAAAGAGAGGGGTTCTGGCCTGTGGAGGACAGAGGGAGACTAGGTAACCCACCTGGAAGGAGGGCCAGCCTTCCTCCTGCCTGTGTATCCAAACACTGCCCATCCGTTAAGGGGCAGCCCCTTTCCACTGGGGCCCCTTCCCTGAATCATCCACACCCTGCTCACTCCCATCTCTGAAGTCCAGTTCACACACACATATCTCTTCCCCATCCGATCCCCAAGTCTCTTATTCTTTCACCAGCCGGTAGATGTGGTGTTGAGCCCCATGCTCGCTGGCTGACACCTCAAAGACATATGCAATGCACAGCAAAGTCTGAGGATCAGATTAGCCAGTTTTCCAATCTGACTCCTTTGACTGAAAGCTCCTCCTATTAACAAAGTATATTTATCAAACACATTTATGTGCTTGACACTATGCTAGGCTCTCTACATAAACGAGGTAGGTACTGTTATTAGACCCATTTTACAGTTGGGGAAACTGAGGCACAGTGAAATTAAGGAATTTACCCCAAGTCACAGGGCTAGGCAGTAGCTAAACGCCAGGATTCCAATCCTAGTGGTCTGACGCTTGCTCCTAACCACCACTCTGTACCCCTCCTAGACACTGTCTTCCTCATTTGTGTATTAATATATATTATCTTCCCGAGTGAGCGTGGGGCACAGTAAACACCTGTAGGCAAGTTGAATCCCAGGCACCTGGGATTGTGGTTCCCACTGGGGATGATACCAAAGAGCCACTAGATGGCAGAAAAGAGCAAGGCCCAAGCCTCCCTGAGGGAGGTGAGTGATAAGCTAATCATCATAACATTTGTTGAGTGCATCTTGCACCAGGCACTTTGTAGACATTCTCTCTCCTCCTCACTAAGGCCTTCTAACGTGGGTGCTATTGCCTGCCCCCTTTACAGGCTCAGAAAGGTGGAGACATTTGCCCAAAGTCGGGCAGCTAGGAATACTAGGATGAAGCCAGGACTGCTGAAACCCAAAGCTGGCCTGTTAGCAGGAAATAAACAGGTGGTTGCCTCTAGACGCAGCGTTGGTTCCACACCCTTCTCCAGCCTCAAGGAGCACAGAAACTACTGTTTGGGGAGGGAGTGGATGCCTGGACTGGCCCTGAGGTGATCACCACCCGACAGGCATCTTGGCTGGGAGGGAGGTAAGACTCACCAGTCAGAACTGGATGGTCTCAGAGACCACTGGGTCACCAAAGACCTCTGAACAACTTTCTTGGCCTTCGCCACCAAAAAGGGTGCTGCAAGACGCCAGCCTCTGCACAACTCGGCGGCCTGCTTTAGCACTGCCCCTCCTGTCCTCCATCTCGGGCTCCTCTGATCTGGAGCCAGTCCCCTCAACAAGCCAGCAGGGCCATGGGATCCACAACCACCAGAGATGAATAAAACTAAACGGCTCAGTGTCCCCTTCCAGCAACTCAGTCACCTCCACACCTAAAACCCACGCCTGGGTTGGACGGGCCTCCCTGTTAGCTGCCCCGCGGCAGTGGCAGCAGAAGTGCCAGGCAGAGCAGCTGCAGCACGCTCAGGGAGCCGCGGTGCACACTTGAGCACACACAGAATGGGAGCCCACGCGCCTGTCCTCAGGCCTCCCAGCGTGGCCAGCAGCAGAGTGCAGAGGCTCCAGGCAGCAGAGGGACCATCCAGCTTGACCTTCAGCGTCTGGCGACATTCCTGGCCGAGTTCACTGGGGCAATGGCTTCAGAACTGCCCATGATGCATCTCTGGGGCTGCTTCCGGCCCGCTTCCCAGACTGCCCCCCTTCTCCCACAGTCCCTCCCAGGGCTCCTACAGCCAGGTGGGGTCCTGTGAAAATACACATCTTGGGTTTATTTGGGGTTGGGCACTGCAGGTTGAGGCACAGTTTGTTCCTGGGTAGGAAGGGTCAGCTTTCTTGGCACTTCAAGGGGCTGTCCCTGCAGGTCCCCACCCCAAGTCCCTACACACACACACACATCTCTTCCCCCGTCCCTGCTCCCCAAGTCTCTTATTCTTTCACCAGCCGGTAGATGTGGTGTTGAGCCCCATGCTCGCTGGCTGACACCTCGAAGACATATGCAATGCACAGCAAAGTCTCCTGTGTGTCTCTGTTGGTGACCACCTGTGGGTGAGAGAAAAGGTGAGGGGTTAAGGCCCCAGAAGAGGGCATGCCTTTTGCTGGACCCTCTGCCCCACCCCTGCAGCGCCCCCAGCCCTGCCCCCCACACCTGCAGGATGGTGAAGTTCTCCAGCACGCTGTTCATCATGTACTTCTCGGGCAAGTGCTTCAGCTTGTGGATGAAGTTGATCATGTACTCACAGAGCGGGGACCGGTGGATGCGGTAGGAGTAGTGGCCGTTTTCGTAGCGGGCATACTCTGTCTGCAGGACCGAGGGGACAGCAGGGCTTAGGTTCTCTTTTGACCACATTCAGCCCAGGCCCAGCTGCTTGGGGAAGCTCCAGGACCCACTGACTCTTAAGTGGAAGAAAAGGCAGAAGGCCTAGAGGCTCTTGAGATCAGAGCCTTCCTCCTCCCTCAGTAACAGGGGCTCGAGTGGCAGCAGAGGGACCATCCACCTTGAGCTCCGATGCTCAGAAGGTGAGCATTGGAGGAGGAGCGCTTCAAGACAGAGTCGTGGCAATAGGCAAGACAGGATAAATGACGACTCAGTCCTGACCACACACCAAAATAACATGGGGAAGGGTGCACAGGAATCCTTGTGGCCATGGAACTGTCATGTATTTGTACACACACACACACACACACACACACACACACACACACAAATACCGATGAAATCTGAATCAGATTATAAGTGGCATCAATGTCAATTCCTGGTTGCCAATAGTTATGCAAAATACTGCCCTCAGGGGAACTGGGTGAAGGGTACATGGAATTACAATTGCTTGAGTGTCCACAATTATTTCAAAACAAAAATTTAATTTAAAATAAATAACTTGAAGTGCTTTTTACAAACAGCTACTACCCAGATTCCACCCTGGAGGTTCTGGGGTAAGTGTTGTGAAGTGGGGTTTATGCATTGGTAAGTTTCAAAAGCTCCAGTGATCTAAGTGCAGCCAGAGGTGAGAACACTGGGAAGGGAGTGCCTCCTCCCTAGTACCAGCCCGGCATCTGGTGGTGATTAACACGAGGAGGGTTATCAATAACTAAGAGACAGTGAGGGTAAGACTTCATTAGTTCAGACAAATTTGGGGAAAGCAGAGGGCATGAATGAAGACCAACCTGAAACAGCTTAAAGGTCTGGTTTAACAGTGCACAGGGTACTCCTACCTCCACTTTCTCTACCACCTGCTTGCCGAACGAGCAGACCTTGGTGGAGCAGGTGATTATCATGTTCTCGGGACTCTCGTACTGGCTGGAGACCCCGTAGAAGGAGCTGCCTTCGTCCTCCATGTTGGTGTTGAGGTCTGCCTGGAGACATGGGAAAGCCAAGAAGCAGACAGGTAAGTCAGCAGGCACACAATCGGGGCGGAGACATGGAGACCTCTGGGGCCCTAGTCCAGGTTCTAGGGCCAGGAAGCAACTAGGAGGCTTTAAATCAGTGATTCCCAAAGTGGGCGCTACCGCCCCCTGGTGGGCGCTGCAGCGATCCAGGGGGGCGGTGATGGCCACAGGTGCATTTGTTTTAACTTTTTTTGTATTACCTTTCTATTCTGAGTTCAATAAATAGTTTCATAATTTCAAACTTCAATGTTTCTAATTTACACCTTTCTTTACTATATTTTACGAAAAAGGTAGAAACATTAATACATATATCTTTCTGTTTAATTGCTATTAAAATTTTAAAAAAATTAGTTTCCAGGGGGCGCTGAGTAATATTTTTTCTGGAAAGGGGGCGGTAGGCCAAATAAGTTTGGGAACCACTGCTTTAAATGAAACCTGGACAGTAGGAGGCTGGAACACTTCCACCTTTCTTCACTTGCAGGCCTGGCATAAGATCAGGTTCTGCTGCCTAAACAACAGAGAAAAACACTGGGACCTGCATTAGTTACAAGGCAGAAACGTGGACCATGCCTGAAAAAGAACCGGCAGGAAGCTCAAGTGCCTGGGAAAGGCAGGCACCTGAAGGGAGGGAGGGGGGAGGCCAGGACATAAAATGATGCCTCTCAGACTTTAGCCACTGCTGGCCTCCCTTTGATTAAGGCTACATTCATGTACCACCTACCACAGGTCCTACTATGCCCCTAATGGTTTCTTTTAAATCAACTCACTCTTATTCCCTAACTCCATTCTTAGCAATATAGTCATGAAATCAGGGATTCTATTTTTCTAATATACATGAAAACAATTGCATAACTCTTTTTAAAAAATGTTTATTCATGTGCCACCTAAAAGAACACTATGCAACCCTCTTAGGCTCTTCAGACCATACAAAGGTAGCACTGCCCCAGCACCCCCAAAGTGATCTGGACATGCCCCTCATCGCCCCCTGCTGGCAAGATCTGTTCAGGTGGCCTTGCCTCTTCCAGAAGGTAAGCACCCTGGAGGCAAGAACTAAGATCTCCCCAGGGCTAGGGCAGAGGATGGGCCTTCAATAAGTCACATGTGACTGTTCTACCCCTCACCTCTGGGTGGCGCTGGGTGAGAAGAGAGAGATCCCTTGGTCCCAAGGAGGAACCTGCAATCTCCTGCTTATGAGGGGAGTCCTCTCAGCTCCAGCTCCGCCCCCAATTCAAATACACACCAGGGCTTCTGCACCAACTCCTCACTCACCTGACCTTCCAACCAGTCACCGTTGATCCTGCCCAGCCCAGCATAGCGAGAGCAGTGGGGGACCAGAGAGGCCGAAACACTGTCTCTGCTCTCAAAGAACTGAAACTTGTGGGAGAGCAAGTAGGATAAGTGAGCTGGTTGTCTGGGGTAGGATGGAGAGAAGAGGGCTGGGGAAGACAGAGAGCCCACAAGTGACAATCCAACGTCTGCCCCAGAACCTGCCCCGTGGTGACGCTGCAGGCCCAGGAGATGCCGGCCAAGGATGCAGACAATGCACCCAGATGCCCCGTCTCGTCCTCAGTGCCCCTTCCTTCCGATTACAACCCCACCCTTCTCCTTTCCACCCCTGTATCCCCCTACTCTAAGCACCTCCCCAAACAAGCTTGCTTCTCTACTTTCTCAGCCTAAGAAGAAAGCTGCCCCCCTACATTACTCTGAAAGGTGCCCCCCACCACTCGCCTTCCTGCCCTCAGAATGCCCCTTGTTCCCCATCCTCCACCCTATTCATAGCTGTGGTGCGGGTGGGCAGCTCACAGGCCGTGCCTGGAACAGGTGTGGGGGATCGGGTGACTGACAGATGAGCCGGACAGCCGTAGCCTGGGTGTGGGGGCTGGAGGGGCTCAGATTCATTGTCATGTGCTGGTATGTGCCTGGGAGAAATGTCAGGGCCCAGAAGGGAACAGCAGCCAGTCCGGGGTACTCTCCTCCCTTCATGGCCTCAGCTCAGCTCTGCCCAGCATTTTCAATTTGCAGACGGGCATTAATGGCCATCAGTGTCCATGAGTCCCCTCTCTCCCCACCCCAAGAACAGAGGTGGCCTCTGCTAGTCTCATATGTTCTGGGGAGGAGGGGAGGTCTCAGCTTCTCAGTCCTGCTCCAAACCCCACCATATGAATCCAACAGAGCACAGCTCACATCTCAATCCTTCCTGCACCCACATGCCCCTCCCAGCCGGGAACAATTTGTCCTGGCAGCCCACTGAGCTACGGCTGCGCTACTGCTGCCACTCCTTCCCTAAGAGCAGGACTTTCAGTGGGAGGTGGGTTGGGGACATCAAAGTCCTCCTCTCACTCCAGCGGGGCTCTGATCTCCCCAGCATGCCTGCACAAGGCCTGGGCGGGAGCGGAATACTGCCAGGCAGGAGAAGAAAGGAAGACTTCAGGAGAGGGGCACTGGTTCGTTGACTTTGTCATTGCCCATGGCCAGTCTCACACCAGCTGATGGCTGGGCAGGAAGTGGGCAGGCCAGGGCCCAGGAGATGAGGGTCCAGATGTCTGCAGACGCCAAGCTGCCTGTGAGGACCCCGTGGTTGACCAAAAGTCTCTTGGTTTGAGAACAGGAGCAATTCTTTCCCCACATTTGCACTTCCCTGGTGCCTCTACCTTCCCCAAGCAAGAGGAAGGGGAAAGAGGAGACACCCACCAAGATGTAGTGGCCACTGACATGCCCCCATCTCTGATTTCTCCTGTCCTCATGCTGCCCAAGCCTCTGGCCTTCAGAGATAGCCCGGCTCAGGCACAGGGCTGGAGGAGGCAGGCATACTGCCTCCCTTCACTGCTGGCTGACACTTCGCTTCCCCCCACTCCCCTCCCTCCAGGTCCTCAGAGACACAGCCTGTAGCAAGCCCTCAAAAATGAACTGCTCGTTTTTCAGATGGAGAAACAGAGGCCCAGAGAAGATGAGATTTGCTTGTTGAGGCCCAGTGTTGCCCGCCTTGTGCCTCCGACATTCTGGAAGGGCCATGCTTGACCACCACGCTCCTCGGCACAGCAGTTACTGCCCCAGGACCCTGAGATCCATTCTGGATTCTGCCACTCGGAATGTAAGTTCCTGGGAGACAAGAGCTACGTTGGGTCCGCATAGCGCAGGTGCTGTGCACAGCCCACGGCCAGGGCACAAAGGCCTAATCGTGTGTCCTGGGCCCCCACGCTTCCCTACCTTCCCTTCTGCTCCCATCAATCTCACCTCCAACCTCCTCACAGAGGCAGAAAGAAGGAGAGGGCATGGGCCACGAGCAAGGCTACAAAACAGACAGGACAAGGGATGTCTGGGCTCTAGAAATCCAAGAAGCCCCACTGCCCAGCTCTACACTGAGGGCGCAGGGCTAAGACTGCTCTCTCTGTGCCGCCATAAGCCGTGTTCCTCAGGGTCAGGGGATCCTTTTCCAGGCAATCAGAGCCTTCTCTGACAGAAGGGGAGCACCAGGACCCCACATGGAGGGCCCCCCGGGTACCTGGCAAGGTTTAGTGTAATGGTTCTGAGCTCACACCCTGGAGCCAGACTGCCTGGGTCTGAATCCTGGTCCTGCCACTATGAGCCTGGTGACGCTGGCAAGCCACTTCACCTCTGTGCCTGCTTCCCCGAGAGGGAATGTGGCTGTCAATTCGACCTACGTTTGGGGGTGTGGCAAGGATAAAACATGCTGATGTAGGTGATGGGATGCAAGCAGTGCCCGAAGTCATCTTTCACCGACCACCCCGATGCACCTCACTGCGTGTATGTAACAAGATCCAGAAAGAGCTCATCCTGGCCGGGTAGCTCAAGGCCAGGCCCCTACTTACTCCACGCCTCAGTCTCCCCCCATGTGTGGAACTGGAGGCCTAGGATGGTCCTCATCTAGATGGTGGATAGAAGAATGCAGAATATTATCTCCAACTAAAAGAAGGCAGGAGCCAGTGAAAAGAGCCCCAAATATGCCACCTCCCCACTCCAGGGTCGTGTTCCCATAAATGCCTCCTGCCAACCAGGCCTCCCTTCTGACCCTCAGGGTAGTTGAGGCAGTGCTGAGGTACAGCCACAAATCACGTCACCCAAGCCCCTTCTCCGAGTCAAGGCTAACCCTGGACAGGTTTGGGGTTGGGGGAAGGTGGACTCAAGACGGTGTAGGCTTCTCAAAGGGAAGGCCAGAAGCCTCCCTAGGCCCACAGCAGGAAGGGAGCTGCCACGCTGGCTGTACAGGGACAATGCTCTTCGGTTGCCCAGAGCAGAGCTTCCTGGTTCCAATTCCCATGGTCAGGGCAGGAAGGGAGAGTAGGGAGAAGTAAGATTGTTTGAGCCCTTTCTGGCTGAGGTCCTAAAGAGATTGCTGTCCCTCACTGGGCCTATGTTATAGCAGTCTCCCACTTGTTTCCAGTCTGGACAGTTGATTTACCCAACTAAGCATAACACTGGCCATGCCATGCCCTGTTCAAACACTTCAGTGATTCCTCATTACCTAAAGAGAAGGGACAGCAAATACACAGTAAACGTGCTACTGTCTTCCCCCACTACAGCCGTGACAGACATTACTAGTCAATCCAGCACTCTCTCCACATCCTTCTCAACGCAGCCTTCCAACAACGATGGCAAGTCCACTGCAGGGACACTCAGGTTAAACCCATTTTTCTGGACACCCAGTTAAAATGGGTTACGAACCACACAAGTTCATTTTTCCCCTTCCAGACAGCCAACTAGAATGATAGTAAAGAACTTTTAAAAATGTGCTGCACCACAAAGGCAAAGAAAACAGAGGAGAGGCCATAATGACAGAGAGTTCAACAACTCTGAGGAGACTGAAGGCGGACCAGAACTAGAATGGATTCTGTGGGGCAAAGGAAGCAAAAGGAATTACAACCTAAAAGTGCTCTCTGAGGGGTGACAGACAAGAAGTGAACTGATGTACTTCAGAGAAGCCCTGAGTGGCTTGGCACTAGAGGGAC